CGGCCTCCCCCCCCCCCAAGCAAAGTAAAATAACATTTTGTACAAAAAGGAAAGGTGTTCCTATCAACATCTTAAGCCATTGCTGCCCTCTTATTTGAAAGTTAATTCTGATTAGGATGTATTTTATATCTCATTGAAATCTTACAGAGCCAGCAGAGCTGTCCCTGTGTGTAATGATTGACCTCACATTGAAATATCCTTTTAAAAAATATGTTTTTATTGATTTGAGTGAGAGAGAGGAAGGGAGCGGGAGAGAGAAACATCAACCATGAGAGAGAATCATTGATTGGCTGCCTCCTGTACGCCCCCTACTGGGGATGGAGCTCACAACCCGGGCATGTGCCCTTGACAGGAATTGAACCCGGGACCCTTCAGGTTGCAGGCTGAGGCTCTATCCACTGAGCCAAACCAGCTAGGGCGGAACGGTTTGATTGTTGAAAATAGATTTTTATTGCTGTTTAAGGTGGTAGTGGGGCGGGGGAGGGGAGGCGAGAGAAACATTGATTTGTTGTTCCCCTTATTGGGGCATGCATTGGTTGCTTCTTGTATGAGCCCTGATTGGGGATCGAACCCACCACCTTGGCGGGGCTGGTTATTTCCCGCAAAGGTAAACACTGAGCGGCCACGGGACCCAGCCTTTCCACTCCTGAGGCTTTTCCCACGAGGAGTGGGAGCAGAGGCCCATCCGACTGCCGGGCGTGGGCGCCCACAGCCTCTGTGGTCATTGTAGCCCAACCCGGAAGCCCCCCGAGGCCCCCAGCGGTGAAGGGACCCTCGCTGGGTCCCAGTCATGGAAAGGAACCGCGGATGAATCTCATGCGGGGGGAGGGGTTTGAGTGGGAGGAGCCAGACGCCTGCGCGGTGGGGTCCCATTCATTCTGCTCCTTGGCCGCGCTAAGCGGGGTGACTCTGAGTACGCGCGTTGGGGAGACAGGCTGGGAAGGGGCGCCAGGGAGCTTCCTGGGGTGACAGAAACGTTCCAAATTGGGGTGGCGGGGGTGGGGGGGCTCCACGGGTGCATGTACCTGTCAAAACCCCCCAAGCTGTACACATACAAGGGGCATTTTATTATGTGTAAGTTACACCCAATAAAAAAGACTCATCAGCTGACACGTGTTGAACGTGTCTTCGGTGCCAGAGCCTCTTGTAAATAAATGCGTGGTGGGCAACCGCCGTTTTCATCCTCCAAACCGCCCCGTCTGACGTATTCAACCCCTGCAACGCGAACCCACACGCTCGGAAAACCACAGGATGTTTCCACAGGAACTTTGGCACCAGATCCATGTGGTGGCAACTCTGACCAGAGCGCCTACCTACAGGCTATTTAAGCCCTTTATCGATCCCACTCCTGGGACCAGTCAAACCTTTCACTCCATAAAGAATCCCACAGTTGACAAGGGGTGTAACGAGGCCTGCTGGCGTGCTCCAGGAAACACCTTGGGCCCCATGAATTCTCCCCATTCAAGTGGGAGCACATGGAGGCACAGAGAGGTGCAGTGCCTTGCCCAAGGCCACACAGGAGGGGCGGACCGAGGCTGTCCGGCTCCAGAGTCCTGGCTCTTAAGCCCCTGAACGTGGCCGCTGCCTCTTAGGGTTGAGGCTGGGGAAGGCCTGGGAGGCAGTCTTGCCAGATTCTCCTCTCTGTTCACCGAGCCGGGTACACTGAGGCACAGAAGTCCGCACAGCCACTCGAGGGCATTCCCGAAGCGCTGCCCATGCCGTGGGGGACCCTTGCATTATAATATCAGGGGGAACGGAGAGGGCCCGAGAGCGTCCTGTGTGGTCGCGACTTCGTGAAACTTAAAGAGGAGGCTGAGGCGTTAGGTGTCCAATCCCAGGCGGCCGCCCCCTCCTGTGTGGCCTCGGGTAAATCGCTGCCCCTCTCTGTGCCTCAGTGTCCTCCCACAGAAAAGGGCTGTGAGGACACAGCCTGCGCTCTTCCCAGAGTGCTCTCCAGCTGGCGGGGAGCGTGGGCAACTGGTATTCTTTATTTGTTTTTCTTCAATTGGACAAACTGACGTTTATAATAAGTACAGTCCTGGCCGGTTTGGCTCAGTGGATAAAGCGTCAGCCTGCGAACTGAAAGGTCCCAGGTTCGATTCTGGTCAAGGGCACATGCCCGGGGTGTGGGCTCGATCCCCAGGGGGGGACTTGCAGGAGGCAGCCGATCCACGATTCTCTCTCATCATGGATGTTTCTCTCTCTCTCTCTTTCTCTCTCTCTCTCATCAATAAACATATCTACCCCCGGGCCCAGCCAGTGTGGCTCAGTGATGGAGCATCAGCCTATGAACCAGGAGGTCACGGTTCGATTCTCAGTCAGGGCGCACGCCCGTGTTGCGGGCTCCGTCCCCAGTGTGGGGCGTGCAGGACGCAGCTGACCAATGATTCTCATCATTGATGTTTCTCTCTCTTTCTCCTTCTCCCTTCCTCTCTGAAATCAACAAAAATATATTAAAAAACACAACATATCCTCGGGTGAGGATAATAATAATAATAATAATAATAAAAAGAAAACCCCAAAGAGGTGAACTCAGCGCTAATCATGTCTATTTAGCCCACTCGATCCCAAATATTATTTCAGCATGTATCTGAGCTGAAACGGACGAAAGAGAGTTTGTGCTCTTTTCACACTCAGCCTTCCAAGCCCCCGGCGTGTTGTCCATCCACGGGCTGGGCGTGTGAGACTGTGCAGGTTGCCAGGCGCTTCCCAGGCTCCGCGCTGGGGGGCACAACCGCATTTTGCGCCCCCCCTGCCCCCAGCCTGTGAAACAGGACGGCCAGGAAGGGGGGACCCTCGAGCCCTGAGCCTGCTGACCGAGGCCACACTGTCAT